TGGCCACTCTGAACATGAGTCTGGTCCGCAACCTCTTCTCAAATTCCAAACATCGACGCTCCTCAGTCCCCACTAACTCTGGTGCAAACCTCGACAAACTAGTGAAGGTGGCTTCAAACTCAGCCACTGGTGTATTCAACTTCACCAACTTGGAGAATTGATCTCTTAGCTTCTCCCTTACTGTAGCAAGTAAGTACTTTGTCCTAGAAAGCTTCCACAAAGGCTTCCCAAGTCACTCCAATGCGCCCCCGCGCATACTTCCACCACTGACCCGCGTCTCCCTTTAGTTGGAAGGACATCAAGGTCACTCTCAAACCTCCGTCTTTGATGCCGAGCATTTCAAACATCTTCACCATCTGTTCCAACCACTCATCAGTCTTCAGTGGCTCCTTAGGATCACCTAAAAACTTATCTGGATTCGACCAGAAGAACTCCCTCTTCAGAAAGGACGGCCCAGCTTCAACTACTTGGGCTTGGACTTGATTCTCAGCCCTGAGAATGTCCATGGATTCCCTCAATGCTCCAGCCATTTCACGGGCTAAGACGCCCATGGCCTGTTGACCAACTGGCTCGGACAAATTGGCCTAACCAACTCCTTCCTCCTGCCCTGGAATTTCATCCGGTATAGGCATCTCATGCCTCCTAGGCCTACCACGCCTACCACCATGACCACTTCCTGACATCGTAGTAAAGGTAACAATAAACATTAGCACATTTACAAATGTGGCGAAGCTAATTCACTCGCATCCTAATACGATAGACAACTGTAATTCACTCCATATAAGCATATACTCACATAAACACATGAATTTCATTTTTGGATAATGACCGTCCCGTGGCGTTGCTAGAGTTCTAGTTAAAAACGACAGTGATCAAGTGCCTTTCCAACAGGACTCCCAGAAGAAACCCATGGACCCGATCAACATCTTAGAAATTAAATCTCATACACATATAATTACATAAGCATGTTATCATACAAGTACATATCATCCATACCTTAGCCTCTAACAAGCTAGGCAAACCCGTTATGATACTAACCACTTTCCCACGTACCTAAAGTATTCAAACTCGGTACGCTCTGATACCAAGTTGTAATGCCCCCAAAATGTAATACAATAATCCACTCCATAATATCTATGAACATCATAAAATGATCCACTTCATTCATTAGATTTCTATTACAAAAAGGAATCGCATGCATTATATTGATGAACATTCATTCTGAATCTACAGTATGTAGTGTAGATTAACGATAACAAAATAAACGCCCTACGTGCGTACATCTTTCCAAGATATCACTTGGTTATAACAAAAGAAAGAGTCTCAAGCTCTATACAAGTTAAGCCCTTGGCTTGAATAAACATATAAGCACAACTATAACAAAAATGGAGCCTTCAACCCTCCATCTTCCCAAGCTATGTCTTTGGAGGTGGCATGCCACCAGTACCTGAAAATGTTTTCCCTAGTAAGGTGAGCTAAAGCCCAGAAGAGATAAACTAACACAGTATATGGGGTTTAACTAAGATATAAGTGTCAGATAAATATTCAATACTCACGGTCAACTTACTTTCTTCTCATAACCATTCAATACTAATAATCATACTCCAACCCATTCTCATTTATTCATTTCGAGTTAATTCATTTCATTCCAAGTTATATGACAAATATACAAAATTTTCCAAATGATCCAACTGAGACTGCAACTCAGTGGTTCTCTATCGACATAACCATCATACAAACACTTCAACCTTGCCATTTTACGAAAATTTTGTCCGCGGGATAGGCACCCTTGTATTCACGAGATTTCGAGACTTTCACCCTAGACACTCCCACCAACTTAGTTTTAAATGGAGTCCACCATCTATCTCCTCTCAAACAGTGGAGTTCATCCCCTTTCTTCTCCCAAACAACTATACATATACAATGTATTAAAGTGTCACCATGTTCAATGACCATCCACAATACATGTTCAATGTCTCAATCATACCGTCATATTCAATGACACAATTTCAATAAGAGGTTTCAATTTTACCTAATCCTCATGCAATTTCTACAACAATCATAGCTATCCTCTACCGATAGCCCAAAACACATATTTCCAAACAGATACATAATCTTTTAAACAGATAATTTATTAAATTTTTATAGGTGAGTGATTTTACAAATCCAACTACACTATTCATTCACATACCCTTCCAATTTCACATTTCCCATACCAATTTCATTATTTATACAATTTGGTTATCCAACTCAAATTAGGACAAATTTCCCCCCTCCCATTTTTTTCAAATATCAACCCAACGACTAAAATTTCACCATTTTAACACTAGAGAATCTCATATACAAATCCCATAGTCATTTTGTGAAAAAAAAAAATGGAAAACCCCTCTTTCAATTTTGAATTCAAACCTTAACTTTAATAAAATTCTTTCAAACCCCACCATTTACACAAAACAACAAATACCTAGGTTAAAAATCATATTAAAGTGTAGAATATCCCTATCTCAAGAAGAGAAGATGAGCCAAGCAAGAGAGAAACTCCAAAAATGTCAAAATCCCACTCTATTCAGTTCAAAAGATAGATCTTGAGATGCTCCAACTTTTTCATAAAGGCACAAGGGTGTAGAGATCACTTGATCTAGGCCAAAATGTAGAGAGGGGATTTTAGAGAGAAAATCTCAGTATGAGTTTTTGGAAAGTTTTAGAGAAAGAAAATGATGAAAAAGTGATTTCAAATGCCACTTTTGCGATCTGATATACGCGCAATCTGCTCAAGCGGAGAGTTTGATGCTTGAGCGCCAGACACAAACTTTTGTTCCGCTTGAGCGCAAGAAAGGCCGCTCAAACACCAAGACACAACAACAAGGGCACGACTCGCTCGAGCGTAGAATACACACTTCTAGAACTTTTGCAGACGATAGACTAACCACTCGAGCTCAAGAAAGGACACTTGAGCGCCCACCCGCTCGAGCGTAGGAAACGTCGTTCGAGCGTGAAAGACACTCCTCCAGCACTTTTGCAGACGTGTAATGTACTGAAGGTTTGCAACTCCCGCTCGAGTGCAAGAAGGTTCGCTCGAGCAGAGGACCAAAATGTACATAGCCCGCTCGAGCGCAACAATTGCCGCTCGATGCATAAGACCGAAAATCTGGCAACACAAAGTTTGAAAACTAAGTAACCAACTTGTTCCAAACACAACCACGCAACCCAAAGACCAATTTCAAAGGTATACATGGGAAGAAAGAGGTAGACGACGATATGAAAACATTAAACCCGAGCCCGGAACATCACAAGAGTCGGGTAAAAGACCGGGATCGCTATATGCCCGATATAAAGCCAAGTTGGTGGCCAAAGGTTTTTTACAACACGAATGTGTGGACTATAATGAGACTTTTAGTCCAGTGGCTAAACAACCTACTATCAGAATTTTACTTTGCATTGCCTTGCATTATTAGTGACCCTTTAAACAACTTGGCATTAGCAATGCCTTTCTTCATGGTACCTTGGATGAAAAGGTTTATATGCTCCAGCCAATTGGGTTTTCTAGTGCCACCAATCTTAATCATGTTTGTCGACTCCAGAAAGCACTTTATGGCCTGAAACAAGCACCTAGAGCTTGGTATTCAACCTTCTCCAAGTTTTTATTAGCTCATAGCTTTGTTAACAGTTACTGTGACAACTCTTTGTTCATTAAGAAGACCTCCAATGACATTATCATTCTCTTGGTCTATGTCGATGACATTCTCCTTACTGGCAGTAGTTCTTTTCTTCTTTAAGAACTCATTAGTCAAATGCATACTGCCTTTGCCATGAAAGAATTGGGCAACATTTCTTACTTTCTTGGTGTTTCTATTCAAACTGTGGGAGCTAATTACTTCTTGTCCTAGCAAAAATATGCTTCTGGCATTCTCCTCAAGGCTGGCATGACCTCTTGTAAACCCCGCACTTCACCTATTTCAGTCAAGCCTTCTGTCACTCCTGCTTCTTCTCTGCCTTTTGCCCAGCCCTAGTTATACAAAAGTCTTATTGGTACTTTGCAGTATCTAACCATTACACGCCTTGATCTGTCTTTAGCAGTTAACCAAGCCTGCCAACATATACATGATCCCACTAACGGCCATTTTGCTTTTGTTGAACGTATTCTCCAATTTGTTAAAGGTTCCCTCTCTCATGGCCTCACCTTTTCTCCCAGTTCTTTTAAGCTTCAAGCTTTCTCTAATTCTAATTGGGTTGAGGATCATTTGGATAAACGATCTACCTCCGGCTATTGCATTTATCGTGGCTCTAATCTCATTTCCTAGTCTGCTAAGAAACAACCGACAGTCTCTCGATCCAGCACTGAGGCTGAGTATAGAGCTTTGTCTCATGCTACCGCAGAGTTGAGTTGGTTGCAGATGCTACTGCATGATCTTCATCTTTCCACTACATCCTCTCCTATTCTTTGGTGTGATAACCTCTCAACTATTGTCCTTGCTTCAAATCTTGTGTTTCATACTCGCTCTAAACATATTGAAGTTGATTGTCACTTTATTTGTGAGAAGGTTGCAGACAAGAAAGTTGTTCTCAAGTATGTTCCTTCTGTTCATCAAATCACTGACATTTTTTCAAAGCCTTTATCCAGTTCCAGATTCCAATTTCTCAAGACCAGGCTGTTGGTCACTTCCTCTCCCATCAGCTTGCAGGGGACATATAGGTGGTGTTTGGAAAGTTTGATAGTTGGGTTTTTTTATATTTTTTTCACTAAAAGACAAACTTTTTGCAAAATCAAAAAAAAAAAAACAAAAACAAAATATCACATCCAACCCCATAATCATTTCACTTTTTCTCTCATAAACATCACATCCAATCACAAAAAAACCCAACTATCTTTCCAAACACTAAAAAAATTTTCTCCAATAATATCCTACAACTAAAAAAATCTACATAAAAACCCACTTTCCAAACACACATAATATTACAACTACAGAGCCAACAGAGCCACAACATTTAAAGGAGTTACATCAGCAGCTCAAGCCACAACAGGAGCTGCCATTAACAGCTAACCAACTAAAGCCAAAACTAAAGCTACAACTGATGTCATAGTTAGCTAGAAGATAGATGAGTTTGCTAGATTAGTTAGTTAGTTACAGATATTATCAGTTTGTTAGATGTATTGTATAAATACATACATGTAATCACATATTGAGATTAATGAAGAAGCTTTCAATAATTCTTCACAACCATACTCTCATCTTCCAGCATCGAAGACACCACAATTTTTAATAAACTGACAAGAAATACACAAAGTACGTACCCAACAGCTTCATGACCAAGAATACATGGAAAAAGGCCTTCAGGATCCTGCAATATTTATTTTCCAACTCAAATCACAAGGCAATAATGAATATTATAGAAATCTGAACCACACTAGAAATAATAAACATAAAAACCACAACCTGAAAGCCATAAAATGCCTGAAGCTTCCAAGATACAATTGACGAAACCAAAGAAGTAATGCTAGTGATGAAATAAAATCCAGGTGTTAAACTATCAATTCCTTATCCCACTCCCTTCCTTCCCATTATCCCATTCAAAAAGCCAAGAAGATATGCATCAACCACTAAAATCTAGTTAAGCCCACAGCATTCCTTCAGCCTAACTTCGTGCAAGTCCTACCGGGACACTTGTTACAAAACAAACTCTACCTACAAAGCCAATGGCAAAAACAAAGGAAATCGTAATCCCCTCAAGAAAATGTCCCAAAATTACAACAAATTACAATCCAATAACATTTTTATTTATTTATTTAAAAACTTCAAATTCCAAATTTCATAATCAAATAATGCCCTAAATATATACCAAAACCACCAGTTAGATCACACTCAACAAACAGAGAAGAGTATACAATTGTTTTATGTATAAATCCAAGGCATAGTAAGTTAAACTACGACAATTCACATAGTTCTTCTGAGCTATAGTAAATATATATACCTTTTCGCTCCAAGTATAAGCATCGGTATGGCAGAGAGCAGTGAACAGGATCTGGATTCGAACTTAAAAAAAATATATATATGATGCTAAAAATAGGAAATATGATACTAGAATTTTCGACTCTAATAAAGCAAGCGAATCAAAATAAATGTAACAATGCAATCAATTGAATTGGCATCTACATTTCCAAATAACACAAATATAATCAAATCAAACAAATCAAGATTAGATCAGACCATTTTAAGACGGACTTGAAATGAGCTTACAGCTAACTAGACTAAACCGTCTAATTACATATTCCAATTGGGGAGCATCTAATTCCATATGTATATATAAAGCAATAGGGTAAATTACAAATGCACCTCCTGAAGTTTGCTTAAAGTACAGATTGCCCCTTATGATTTGAAAAATTACGAATACTCTATTGTTAGAATTTTTTATTTAAAATAATTAACTAAAAAAATAAATTCATAATTGCTATCCTATATATTTGTAATTTATCCTTACTAATATTTAAAGCGGTCACCACTGTGAGTGTATATATTACAAAAATAAAAATTTTAAAATGTACTGAAAAGTTATGATTACTATAAATTAATTCAATTATATTAATGATTATTTTGACAAGTAGTTAAAATAGTCACCTTTGAGTTTTGGCTTGGTGTAAATTTGACAAATGTTGAATTTTCAAAATCCAAAGTGCTTTACAATAATTGTTCTACTTTTCTTAACTTGAATTTTCCCAATTCAAAGTGGTTAATAGTAATTGTTAATACTTATCTTATATTGCTCTCTCCTCACAAATTTGGCCGCAGGTATGTATCTATATGCACATACATGTTCTTATATTTATATTTATATATACTTGTACGCACTTATATTGATTATTCGAAATTGAAATTAATGAAGAGAATTGAAACCACACATCAATCTTTCATTGATCTCGTCATTGCTTAATTATCATTTACTTGCAGTGTTGAAGCCATATATGTTCATCACCCTGTCAAGAAATTGCGAAAACTAATCAACTAATACATATTGGGATTGCTTCTAATAACAACAACATTCACTGTATAACAAAATGCTGATAATGATGTGATAAGATCAAAAAATGCACGATTTAGAGATTTTCTTATACTATGAACCCTAAAAATAAAAAACGCTTAATTATTGACAATTACTATAAACACCTCACTGAAACAGATTGATTGAACAAACACATGAATCTATACATGTATACAAAACCATGTATGAAACCGAGGGCTAAAATATCAAATTGATTATATAGATATATGCATGTATATATATATACATTTATATGTGGTACTTGATCGAAATCGCTACCGGAGAGTCGCCGGGAAATCCGAGAATCGAGGAGAGATGGGGCAGCAAACGGAGCATGTTTTCCGATCTCCTACAAGTTTCTGAGGCTCCGAATAGCTAAAACATCTCCTTTTTTGATATTCAAAAATCGTCCGATATCATCAATCTCTATCGAATCTACATAGCACAAAGCAAAGAAAACTCAATAATCAACGACAAAACACCAAAAAAGCATTTCCAAAAAACACAAAAGCAGTACGCATTGCAATCTGCATTATACCTATAAACTTTGACAATCAAGTAAATCCACTAAATTGAGCCAAATTTGAATAAAAAAAACATAGAATCACTAGATTAAAAGCATATCGTAATGAGGAGGAACAGTAGTAATAGTAGTGCCTAATCCACTTACCTTCTTGAGATGGATCGTGAGAGGAAAGGTAGAGGATGAGGAAGCAAAGGACGGTGAGAAGAGGAATGAGGTGAATGAATTTCTCAGGTCTCAGAGGCAATTTGCGAGAGAAAAAGAAGTTAAGGATTTGAGAGAGAGAGAGAGAGAGACAGAGAGAGAATGATGGAACCTGGATGCTTTTGTCTTTGTTTTTGATAGTCCCGACTATTGAGTTCAGAAATTAATATATAAAATAAAATAATATATGATTTGGGTTTGAAAAATGTTTGGGCCCTAATTCTGTGGCTCAAATGTGGCTCAAATGGTCAAAACGACGTCGTTTTGGCCATTTTGATGTTGTTTTGTACTCAAAACGACGTCATTTTGACCATTTGAGCCACATTTGAGCCACAGAATTTGGGCCCTCTACCATTGCTCTTTGGGTTTATCAGGGATCTATTAAAATTGTAGGTAAAAGTAATTGATCTTTTTACAATTAAATAAATTTGTTTAGAAAATATAATAATATAATTAAATATATATTTTTTTTAAAATTCTTTTATTTTATCTTTATAAGTATAATTTTTGCAAACAAATTATTTTTGTCTTTAAAAATTTTTCTTTAAAATCTTAATTTCTTGTAGTGATACCCAAGGGGGAAAAAAAATTATTTTCCTATGCAATCATAAATTATTAAAATTATTTATTAAAAAATATTTCTCATAGCATGAAAAATTGTTAATGGACTTAATGATTTATTAATTAACAAAATGGTTAGCTGAAAAATATTTTTCATATCATTAAAATTATTAATTTACTTAATGATTTACTTATGAATAAAATTGATCATTTGTTATCCGAGTATGATTTATGTATTAATAAAATTTGTTAGGGGTGAGCAGCGGATATACCGATCTGCCAAAACCGATCGAACCGAACCGATCCACCGCATTTTGAACGGATGCGTGATGATGAGTGGACGATTGCGGATTGATTTTCTCCAATCCGCCAATTTGGCGGACGGATAGCGGATTTAAGATTTCTTTGGCCGCAACCGAACCGCCAAACCGCCAAACCGCGAGCACCCCTAGCAATTTATAAGACTTTGTGTTTTCAATTTGTTTAAATATTACATTTTTGTTTTCAATTGAAAAAGAGTTTAAATATTTTGTTGAAAAAAAGTTTTCAACTTAAATATATTTTTTGAATTGAAAAAAATAAACGTATTATTTATCTATATTTTTTGGTTTTTAAATCTAACTCTAAAAATAATAAATAGAAAATATGATATATGCTGGTTAGTTTTTGTTTTTAAAAACATATATAGATGTAACAATACAGAGACATACAATCTCTACTATTGTTCTGTTTATGGTTTTGATAGTTTGAATTGTTATTATATTTTAAGAACCACAAATTGTAATACTTTATGTGGATGAATCATACTGTGATTGTAATATGTGGATAAGGCATTCAGTGATCGTAATATTCTAAAGTTTTAAATTTTCTTTCTTTAGATAAGGCATACAGTGATTATAATATTTTTTAAGTCATTGACTGTAATATATATATATATATATATTTTTGAGGAAGTGCACAAGTTGAATTATGTTGAAAATTTATAAAATTTTAAATCGCCAAACCGATTCGCATCTATCTGCCAAACCGCCAATCCGCTCAATCCACATCCGCCAGATTGGCGAACGGATGCGGATTGATTTTTTCCAATCCGCCAATCTAGCGGACGGATGACGGATTAGAGGTTCCATGACCATAACCGACCCGTGCCTATCCCTAGGCTAACATCATTACCATTTTGTGTTACAAGTCTAAGAATATCTTGTTGGAAATGGTAGAAAAATTCTGGGTAAAATCAGAATTTTTTCTCAAGTTTGGTCTATTTTTTAGGTGGGCCCCGAGCGTCGATTTACTCGGGTCAAAGTAGTAACGCGTTCTATGTCGCGTTGTGATTCACGTGGTATATTTGGTTGCTCAAAACCATTACCGAGTAAAACTATTATTTTTTTATTATCGAATTATTAAATTTTAGAAGCTTAAACTATTATTTTTTTATTATCGAATTATTAAATTTTAGAAGCTTAAACTATTATTTTTTTATTATCGAATTATTAAATTTTAGAAGCTTAAACTATTATTTTTTAATAATATAATAAATATCACGTCAAAGAATAAAAGTTATTATTAATTTATAAATATCTTTAAAAATTTGGATAACACATCTCACGATAAAAATCAAAGTGAATGAATGAAAATTTCAATATCCAAAATTGAATATTAGATTGTTATAAGTGGCATGAATATTTTTTGCTTTGTTTGAAAATTAAGGTTAATTATAAATAAACTCCTTAATTTTTATTAAAACTAATTTTCAATCATGTGCTATGCGCGGTTTCTATTTAAAAATTTTAAATTAATAATTAAATATATTATTTTTATATTTATAAATACAAATAATATTAAATGTAAATACAACATAAATATTTGAATTAAAAATTTAAATATTAAATTTCTGTTTACAACATAAATATTTGCAGTTGTCAAACTTGACACTTATCAACCAGGCCATTTCCCACTAATATATATCTATCTTCTATATTTTATATGCGGTGTTTTAAACCTTGGTTTTTTATGATGTTATGTGTCTATTTTTTTTATTTAAAATTAAAAAAATTAGATAGATAAGAGGAGAGAACTTGAACCTTAGATTTATATATATTAAATAAAAAAAACTTTTATCACTTAACTAATCCACAATATATAATATACATTTTATTTTTATTTATTTAAATTATGTACGCATCACGTATGACAATCATTAATATATATATATATATATATATATGCTAGTTTTCAATGCTAGTTTTCAACCCGTGCATAGTTTCTATTCAACGGTTTTTAATTTAAAATTAATAATTAAACAAATTATTTTTATATTTATAAATACAAATAATATTAAATATAAATTTATATACTAAATAGTCATGCAATTGAAGTATAAAACTACTTTCAATTTGTTTTTAAAGAAAGAAAAAAATTACTTGTCAAAGAATAAAAACTTATAAAAATAATTTAAATTTCACCTCCGTTATTATCTCAAATGAAAATTATGAAATAAATAACAATTTTCATAAGGTATCAAACAAATCTAGATAAATAATTTAAATTATTCAAATACCTTTTAGCATATAAATTTTTATTTTTAATTTTTTAATTTTTTGATGAATTTTATTGAAAAGTTTTTTTTTTTTTTATCCGCAGAAAAAAAAAAAACCTTTTTTTTATGTAGGAGCAAAGTACAAGGTACAGACAAGATACATCAATAAAGAAAGGCAAGTGCAAAAGTATCATGATGAGCTAAATCATTTCAACTAGGTTGGCACAAAAAAGATCATCCTATCATTTGCTAGTATCGCCAGAGTTGGTGAGCAACCAACCAAATAAACTGAACAAAAACACCTCAACAAAACAGTCCACAGCTGAGCATAGCAAACCAACACAGATCAACAAACCATATTAGTTCAGCAGAGCAAACCAGCAGACCACAGTTGAGCAGCAGAGCAAACCACAAAGACAAGAACAACAGCAGAGCATACTAGCAGCTGAGCATATCACAAAGCAGGATAGACTTGATCCACATTGTAACTTTCACCTTAATTCAATGTAATACTCTGCTACACAGCAACAATACAGATCACAGCAACAGACAGATCAAAACAGCAAATTAGTTGAACAGGTAGTAGCAAACAGATCACCTCTGCTGACAGCAAATAGATTATAACAGCAAATCAGACTCAGCAGAGGAACTATAAGTCGCTTCCCCCACACAGGCCCAGCACACAGACTCAGTAGAGGAACTATAAGCAGCTTCTAAGTTGCTGAATATTGTAGACAAACTCATCCACCGCATACCCTTGCCTAAATGAATGTGCTTTCATTCAAAGGGCCACTCTAGTTTATTTAACTCACGGAGGTCATCACAAATGGGCTACAAAGCATTGAACAAGCAATCATTTCTGTATTTCCAAAGGAGCCATAAACCAACAATCAAAACTGATCTCCATAGTTGTTTCTCATTTTTTCTATAAGTCCAACCTAACCACCAATGCATAAGCATGTCCACGGAGCTAGGAGAGGCCCATTGCAACCCTCACCACTTGATTATGGTGGACGATACTTTCCAAGCAAAATGGCAGATCAATAGAACATGATTGAGTGATTCAATATCCGCATGACAAAACACACACTCATTACTGACTTCATTACTGAGGACACCAATTCTATGTAAATAATATGAGGTCTTTAACCTCCCTTTCCAAACTAACCAAGAGAGAAATTGGGCTTTAGGTGGAAAGGGATTGTGCCAGATCAAATCAGGAATTTGTAGAGCATGACCATTAGATGATTCACACCAGTTAACAATGCCTTTAACACTAAAAATACCTGCAAGATCAGCTTTCCACCAAAAAAAAAAAAAACCTATCATTAGAATCCAATCTCAAGTCAAGGCCCTTACCTAGAACATCATGAAGTCTCCGTAGTTCATCTTCCTCCTATGCCAATAAGGGTCGTTTGAAATGGAATGCCCAGTTGTTCTGATTTCTGGACCTAGACCACTGCATATGCAAGGAAATGTCTCTGTCCACTGATAAGTAGTATAATCTAGGAAATTGGGACTTCAAACAACTGGTCTCCATCCAATTATCAACTCAGAAACTGAGTCTTGCACCATTGCCAATCTTGATTTCAGTATTGTGCAAATAATGGTTGAACAAACTGTTGTTAGATTCATTAACAAGGAGAATGTCACTCCACAATCTTGAAATATTGTTTGCCTCTACATAAAAAGAAACCATCTACCCCCCTCTGACTTGTACTTACTGCAGATGAGCTGTTTTCATAAAGAGTTGTCTTCCATCTCAAATCTCCATCACCACTTAGCAAGCAAGCTATTGTTCACAACTCTTAAGTTTCGAATCCCCAACCCTCCTTGTTTTTTTATCCTTAGTTAAATCCTTCCATTTCACCAAGTGGACTTTCTTCTTAACCTTAGAATCTCCCTAAAGGAAAGTTGCTTGAATCTTATTAATCTCTTTTCCCACACTTCTAGGCAACCTAAACAGAGACATGTAATAAATAGGAAATGAGGATAGTACAGATTTGATTAGTGTTACTCTACCTGCAAAGGACAACAACATCA